TGAGTGAGTGAGTGAGTGAGTGAGTGAGTGAGTGAGTGAGTGAGTGAGTGAGTGAGTGCGTGCGTGCGTGCGTGTGTGCGTGTGTGTGAGTGTGTGTGTGTATGTGTGTGTGTGACACATGTCTGTCTCATGGCCGTGGCTTTGTGAGCAGCGTGTGGTTTGATGTGTACGGCTCTCAGAAGCGTGTGGTGTGTGTGTGTGGTCACGTGATGGCAGTGTGTTTACGGTAAACGGGAAAACTGAGCTGAATTGTGTTTCCATGTTAGTGAGCGAGTAGAGCAGCCCCTCTGCAAACTCCCACAGATCTGAACCACAGGCTGCTCCACACATCAGCGACAGCCGGACACGCTACACACAGAAATCACTACCAAACATGTACAGAGTGAAGAACTCCAAACACAAAACAAATTATTTAAACACATTAAGTTCAGGGGTGGGTTTACTGCATTGGGGGCCCCAGGCTGCTGTACAATGATGCCCCATAGTTGTGTCTAGTGTTTCTACATTTGTCATGTACATGTTATAATGGCTTTCTTTCCTGTTGTAGACCATGAAATAGCAATTGATTTACAGTTGAGATACAGGTTTTCACAAAAACTAAATAAATTATAAAATGATAAACATCACAATTGAGCCTATAAACCATTTTTAAGAAAAGGGATGAGTCAGAAGTATAAACTATTAAATTAAATTAAAATGGGGATGTGTGGGTGGATTTTCACATTGGTCTGAACAAAAACCACAGACGGGATTATTGAAAATGAACATTCATTCTCTGCCAGCAGGAGGCACTTTTGGAACATCAGAAATATAGTGGTTTCCCCGGTAACGGCTGTAAACAAAGCAGCGCTCATAAACACTACTTTATCAGATAAAATGAAAATGCCATTGAAACTTTTCTGAAGACAGTCGGTTTCCTTCAGAGATTCATACATATAAAAACTTGAATTAGTGAGAATGAGAAAAGTGTGAGAAATATAGCCTATATTGATGAGGAAAATCCACTGATGAGTTACCAGCGTCTAATTCTAAACTTTAAAATATACTTATTTATAGTTATTTTAACTACAAATTTAAATGAAACTGAAAAAATAATCATGTGACTCAAACTTCATAATATTGGGATTATGTGTGAAACGCATGTACAGGAGACACTGTATCTCAGTTATATTAAAAAATATTTAATATCAAATAAGAAAGAACATAATTTAGCATCAATCAGGCTTTACAAAAGCATGTAAAAACAGCATGTCAAGCATTTACTCTGTACAAAGAAAACTGTGCAAACAAACCTTAAATACGCTTTTGTGTGAAGAGATGCTCACGGTTTAACATTCGATAAGAGCACGAGAGTGGAATATTTACAGTGATGCTCCACATCTGTGGAGGGTTTGTGTATTCATCAGTAGCAGAAATGACTGACATATACTGTCATATTTAATAATAACAATAAGGTAAATTTATAAAGCGCTTTTTCCAAACCTCAAGGTTGCTATTTTAGGTCTGTCTGCTGTTCAGTGCATGTTTGTTTGAAGTCTTTGCATGCGTTCAGATCTCAAGCTGATTCTGGCTGATGAACTGATATCTGAGTCTTTGTGCAGATGTAACTCAGTTCACATGTAAAGGACCGAATGTTGAAATGCTGAAGAACACCTACGCAAAGACTTCTTTCTGCCCACGACAGCTCGATTCGAGGCCTATATAGCAAAGCGACTGTCGTGTTTGAAACAGTTTCTCTTTTGGGCTGTGTGACAGTTCGTTACTGGAATGAGCCTTTAATTACAATTACTCTGAAATGTGACCCTGGAGCACAAAACCAGTCATAAGGGTCAATTTTTTGAAACTGAGATTTATGCATCATGCAGTGAGTGTGTGTTTGTGTTTGTTTGTTTGTTTGTTTGTTTGTTTGTTTCTCTCTCTCTGTGTGTGTACAATAAATAAGCTTTCCATTGATGTATGGTTTGTTAGGATAGGACAATATTTGGCTGAGATACAACTATTTGAAAATCTGGAATCTGAGGGTGCAAAAAAATCTAAATATTGAGAAAATCATCTTTAAAGTTGTCCAAATTAAGTTCTTAGCAATGCATATTACTAATCAAAAATTAAGTTTTGATATATTTACGGTAGGAGATTTACAAAATATCTTCATGGAACATGATCTTTACTTAATATCCTAATGATTTTTGGCATAAAAGAAAAATGTATAATTGTGACCCATACAATGTATTGTTGGCTATTGCTACAAATATACCCCAGCGACTTAAGACTGCTTTTGTGCTGCAGGGTCACAGATGTGCTCAGGATCTTTGCTTGCGCTTATGTGATGACGGAGAGCTTGAGTTTGGGGTAGATGGATTTGATGGGTGAGGTGATGCCGTTCCCGGACGAGATGGTCGTCTCCAGTCCCTGGCGGTTCACGTCTGTCTTCGTGAAGCTGATACGGATGCCGATCTTCCTCACGCGGCCGTCTTTGGTCATCAGGCAGCGGCGGCAGAGCAGCTTCAGAATAGCCCTGCGCATGTCTCTGCTCGTCAGCGTGTAAATGATGGGGTTAATGAGGGAATTAAACATGGCCACGCCCAGGAAGTAATCAGCCTTGAAGAGAACAGGACACGTCTTCACGGGACACACGAAGTCCATCAGTAGGAGCACGAACAGCGGCATCCAGCACACGATAAACACTCCCACCACGATGGTGACGGTCTTCAGCAGAGCCATGTACTTCAGCGAGCGATGGCCGTAGGGTTTGCGCTGAACGCAGCTCGGGTTCTGCGTGTTGGACTTGACGAAGTGGAAGATGCGTGCGTACAGAAGGACGATGGCCAGCAGGACGGTCAGGAACACAAACACGCAGAAGAAGATGTAGCTCTTGGCGTAGAGCGGCAAGACGGTGGAGCACCACTTGAGATGATGCAGACAGTTCCAGCCCATAATAGGCAGAGCGCCTAGCAACAGCGACAGCGCCCAGCTGGCGGCGATCAGAGCGAACATGCGGTTGCGTTTGGCGCGGTGGTAGGGCTTGGTGTTGAGCATGGTGAAGTAGCGCTCGATGGCGATGGCCAGCAGACTGATGACAGACGCTGATAGCGTGATGAAGACGCCGCCCTCCCTCAGAAACCACAGCAGCGGCGTCAGCTTCAGCGTGTTCGAACCTGACAGTACGATGTTCAGCATGTAGGTGAATCCGGCCAGCAGGTCCGACAGCGTCAGGTTACCCAGCAGGTAGTACATGGGCATGTGGAACTTCTTGTTCTTCCAGATGGCCATGAGGATGACCGAGTTCTCCACGACGATGAGAAAGCAGATGAACAGACAGGCGATGGATTCTGGTTTCAGTCCGTCTCTGTATCGGTTCTGATCCAGTTTGCCGGTGTGGTTATAGTGCCGCTGGAGGACTTCGTTGCAGTGATAGTCCTGGAAAGCGAACGAGGATGTGTTGGTTGACCCTGCGCTGGAGGTCACAGCGCAAAGCTCCATGGTTCTCCAGCAAACTTCTTTTTGCTCTCAGTGATGAGACGCTGTGGAGTTCAGCTCATCGTAACAGAGAACCTGAGTGTCAGAAAACTGAGCAGGAGTTGTTTTGTGAAGGCCGATCGTGCCGGAGAAAGCAGAGCGGACACTGGATGGCAGAACTGCTTGGTTTGGGTCCATCACTTCAGTCCTGAAAACACAAGAGCATCATCAGCTCACCAAACCAACTAAAAACCTGATGGCTGAAACTGCGATCCTTGGTGATTCATAAAATGCAGGTCAGTGGCTGCAGACACTCTGAGAGTCAAAATTAATTCACACAGAATGAATCCCTGTGGCATCGGCAATATACTGAGGTCTTATGAAGTGAAACGATCAGTCTGTGCAAGAAACTGAACGTATGGATTACAGGTAATAATACTGTAAATAATGTTCAGTTTGTTGCACAGGCTGATAGTTTCTCTTCATAAGACCTCAGTATATCACCAGGAGCCACGGGGATTCATTCTGTGTGAATTAATTCTGACCCTCAGAGTGTCTGTAGCCACTGACCTGCATTTTATGAATCACCAAGAATTGCAGTCTCAGCTAAATATCTTCTTTACTGTTCCACTGAAGAAACAAACTCATCTTCATCTTGGATGGCCTGAAGGTGAGTAAATTACCAGCAAATCATCCGAGTAACATCACATTCAGTCAACAGCTGCTCTTTGAATTTGATCATGTTTAGTGAAATTAATTTGAGCCAGTCTGATTAATTTCATGAGCAGAAATATTTAGTCTTTTTATTTAGATAATCAATTAATTGAAATATGCTGATGTATTTTACAATAATGTCTTAACAATTAACTTTAGTTAATGCATTAACCCTAACCCTAACTAACAAGGAGCAATGCATTTATTACAGTATTTATTAATCCTTCTTTAGCTCAAGTCCATTAAAATAATATTTATAGATAGAACTTTTGATTTTGATTATATATTAGTAAATGTTGAAATTAGCATTAATAAATGCTTTAGAAGTATTTGTATTGTTAGTTCATATAAACTAATACATATATAGTTTAGTCATGAAACTCTAGACGGCGCAGGCTGATGGGTTGTTAATGTAACTGATGATATTCAGAGAGTTAAACGACTTGGCACAAGCTGATTGGTTCATGCTGCATATGCAGCCAATGAGCTTACTGCCTTGCATTTATATGGCTGGCTAGCATTCACTTGAGGTTCCTGCAGCACACTTTCAGAGTTTCTCAGAAACCCTCCACCTTCCCCAGCTCCACCTGTATAGATCTGCTACGGGTTATTTTATATGCTATTTGTGCAGCAGCAGTATGTCTTAAATACTCATATGCACTGGCCCCATAATAGGCAGAGCGCCTAGCAACAGCGACAGCGCCCAGCTGGCGGCGATCAGAGCGAACATGCGGTTGCGTTTGGCGCGGTGGTAGGGCTTGGTGTTGAGCATGGTGAAGTAGCGCTCGATGGCGATGGCCAGCAGACTGATGACAGACGCTGATAGCGTGATGAAGACGCCGCCCTCCCTCAGAAACCACAGCAGCGGCGTCAGCTTCAGCGTGTTCGAACCCGACAGCACGATGTTCAGCATGTAGGTGAATCCGGCCAGCAGGTCCGACAGCGTCAGGTTACCCAGCAGGTAGTACATGGGCATGTGGAACTTCTTGTTCTTCCAGATGGCCATGAGGATGACCGAGTTCTCCACGACGATGAGAAAGCAGATGAACAGACAGGCGATGGATTCTGGTTTCAGTCCGTCTCTGTATCGGTTCTGATCCAGTTTGCCGGTGTGGTTATAGTGCCGCTGGAGGACTTCGTTGCAGTGATAGTCCTGGAAAGCGAACGAGGATGTGTTGGTTGACCCTGCGCTGGAGGTCACAGCGCAAAGCTCCATGGTTCTCCAGCAAACTTCTTTTTGCTCTCAGTGATGAGACGCTGTGGAGTTCAGCTCATCGTAACAGAGAACCTGAGTGTCAGAAAACTGAGCAGGAGTTGTTTTGTGAAGGCCGATCGTGCCGGAGAAAGCAGAGCGGACACTGGATGGCAGAACTGCTTGGTTTGGGTCCATCACTTCAGTCCTGAAAACACAAGAGCATCATCAGCTCACCAAACCAACTAAAAACCTGATGGCTGAAACTGCGATCCTTGGTGATTCATAAAATGCAGGTCAGTGGCTGCAGACACTCTGAGAGTCAAAATTAATTCACACAGAATGAATCCCTGTGGCATCGGCAATATACTGAGGTCTTATGAAGTGAAACGATCAGTCTGTGCAAGAAACTGAACGTATGGATTACAGGTAATAATACTGTAAATAATGTTCAGTTTGTTGCACAGGCTGATAGTTTCTCTTCATAAGACCTCAGTATATCACCAGGAGCCACGGGGATTCATTCTGTGTGAATTAATTCTGACCCTCAGAGTGTCTGTAGCCACTGACCTGCATTTTATGAATCACCAAGAATTGCAGTCTCAGCTAAATATCTTCTTTACTGTTCCACTGAAGAAACAAACTCATCTTCATCTTGGATGGCCTGAAGGTGAGTAAATTACCAGCAAATCATCCGAGTAACATCACATTCAGTCAACAGCTGCTCTTTGAATTTGATCATGTTTAGTGAAATTAATTTGAGCCAGTCTGATTAATTTCATGAGCAGAAATATTTAGTCTTTTTATTTAGATAATCAATTAATTGAAATATGCTGATGTATTTTACAATAATGTCTTAACAATTAACTTTAGTTAATGCATTAACCCTAACCCTAACTAACAAGGAGCAATGCATTTATTACAGTATTTATTAATCCTTCTTTAGCTCAAGTCCATTAAAATAATATTTATAGATAGAACTTTTGATTTTGATTATATATTAGTAAATGTTGAAATTAGCATTAATAAATGCTTTAGAAGTATTTGTATTGTTAGTTCATATAAACTAATACATATATAGTTTAGTCATGAAACTCTAGACGGCGCAGGCTGATGGGTTGTTAATGTAACTGATGATATTCAGAGAGTTAAACGACTTGGCACAAGCTGATTGGTTCATGCTGCATATGCAGCCAATGAGCTTACTGCCTTGCATTTATATGGCTGGCTAGCATTCACTTGAGGTTCCTGCAGCACACTTTCAGAGTTTCTCAGAAACCCTCCACCTTCCCCAGCTCCACCTGTATAGATCTGCTACGGGTTATTTTATATGCTATTTGTGCAGCAGCAGTATGTCTTAAATACTCATATGCACTGGCAGTAGTGAGTTCCTGTACTTGCTTGCAGCAGCAGCAATAATCTACAACTACAGCAATAACCAACAGCAGCAGCAATTCAGCAGCAGCGTAGCAGATCTATTCCGCTAAGACCAAATACATTAACATTGTCATATCCAGCACCATGCTAAAATCTTCCGAGAGTTGTCACGATTGAACTGACTCATACTTGACCTTTGATTCGTTCACATTTTCACAAAGTTCAGAAACCCAGGTGACAAAAGTGCACTTCCACGATGTACTTAAAGAACTCTATTTTCACACACTAATTTTGTACTCGATATACAAAAAATTATTCTTTAGTACTTCTTAAGATAAACTTAAGATCATCTAAGTATACTCAACTGTGCTATTTTGGGACACCATGAAAATGACATAAAATGTGCTTTTAACATACTGTCTCTGTATTTAAGAAATGTATTTATTTACCACTTGTAGTACACTTGTATGAAAGATGGGTTCAAGTGTACTACAAGTGCTAACTAAACAGAAAATACAGCACTTTAAGTACATTATGGAAGTGCACTTTTTCACCTGGGAAGAGACTAAAATCAGACAAATACTATTCATTTGGGTTTATAGCTATTTTACTGTGTGTGTGTGTGTGTGTGTGTGTTTGTGTGTGTGTTTAATTTTCTGTACATTCATAGTTTCACTGTGTTCTGAATTGGTCTTTGGTTCTTAGTTAAATATTAAGCAGAGACACGTGCTGGAATTACAATTAGAGGCATCTAAAGAGCTGCTCGAAATTATCCAGCAGTGTTATTCTGTATCGTCCCTGTCTAATAAAACAATAAAAAACATTCAACACAAATTAGAATGAGTAGTTACAAAAGCAAACACACACACAAGTACACATTTATCTCCTCTATAGAATCTGAGTCTACAGAGCTCCTCATTATTCATAACAGTAAAACATGAGTTTCAGAAGGGATAGAAATCTCTTACCGTTTCTAGTTTTGTGTGTCAGTAAAGCTTCTGCTGTGGCATGAAAACTTCAGTGAAAGAATCAAACACGACTCAACATAAAACTACAGAGAACTGACTCTCTCTCTCTCTCTATCTCTCTCTCTCTCTCTCTCTATATATATATCTCTCTCTCTATATATATATATCTCTCTCTCTCTCTCTCTCTCTCTCTCTCGCTCTCACTCGCTCTCTCTTTCTCTCTCTCACTCACTCCCCATCACTCGCTCTCTAACTCTCTCTCTCTCTCTCTGTCTAACTCGCTCTCTCTCTCTCTCTCTCTCTCTCTAACTCGCTCTCTCTCTCTCCTCCAGACCTGCAGTGGTTGAGGTTTTAACACTTGTATGTTTGTTGGTTTCAGTGGGCCATAATATGATTCTGATGTGGATCTTCCTGTAGGAGTCACATTAATATCCACTGATGAGCATGTTAATTAGCTGAGATGATCTGACTCCAGCAGTGTGATTAGCACAGCTCCAGCTCCATGTGAGCACGTTTTGAGTCGAATGCAGGTTTAATCAGATGAATCTGTGGTTGGATCCGACTCGAGCTCAGAGTTGTCTTCTGGTGTTCTGCCTCCTCAGAGTTACTGTTACTGCCCACCGCATCTCTCACACCTGCGCACTGCTGCCAGACTTTGAGCTGTGTGACTGTGCATCGTGGGAACCTCCGTGACGCGTCAGATGCTGGAGGAACACACGCTGTGGCTGACGGACGTCACAGAAGATCTGATCCGGCTGAACTCTGGCAGATCCTGCAGTAAAACTGGTTCTGCAGTTCATGGGTGGATCTGGGCATGAAACATGAGAGAGCATTTGTCTGTTTATGTAGTTCAGTTTTTAGCATGAATATTCAATGTGAACGAGTTTGTCTGGCACTCGTCTCTAATGGTTAGATGCTGTTTTACCGTCTGATAAAGAGGTCAGAGGTCAGACAGGTCATCCCGGTTGACCTTTAAGGTCACTTTTATCCTTCTGTGTCTCTCTGAAATGAGAACGGAAAAAAGTCCTTCTCTGCATTATTGTTTGCATGGAGCATTATTCCAGTCAAGACGAAACCTTTATTTATATTGTGCTTGATACTCATTGTGTCAAAGCAGCTTTACAGGGAGAAACAGAAAAATGTATTAAACTAATTTTAATAGTTTTCTATACACACGATTCTTATCAGTAGTCTAAAATATGAGATGCACAAGAGCCTAAATGTAATAAAACATTTAATTTTAAAAAGTGTTTTGAATTAGAAAAATTTGAAGCAAATGAAAGTATGAGCAAAAATCAGATATCATGTAAGCAAGTGTAAGTTTCTGCTAGAGTTTTTTAGGGTTGTTAGTGCTTGGCCTTCACATCTGGATGAAGTATGATGTTCTTGTGTCTGTTAGGGATTCTCTTCAAACTGAAGGAGAAATGAGTCTTAATTCAGAGGCTTCCGATGCGTGCTGACAGACAGCTTTTTATCAGTGTTTGTACTGAAAATGCTACATCTCTATACAAACACATGCTCATATGTGTAATACTCAACATCATTTTGCAGTATTATTGTTAAATCAGTTGTTAATTTTAATGGCAGTCCATTATGAATATGACATCGCTGCTGCAACAGTGCAAAATGACTGAAACAGTAGAAAATAACAGAGTAACAAAGGAAAATGTTTGAAAAAGGTGTATGTTTTGTAAAAGAAAGGAGATCTTTTAGTTTGTATGCGCTGTTTAATACTGCGGTCAGACTCAGAGCGATGAGCTTGTTTCCTGTCGTTCTGCAGCTGTTGGCACATGTCTGCTTGTTTCAGAATCAGTTTTACACATTCAGACATCTTCAACATCTCTGCTGTACCGTCAGCTGTACACCTGCGTAAGACACAAACTCCAGCGATTACATTCATTCAAACACACGTGATGTCAGAGAGATAAACACAGATGAAACGCCTCTCTCGTTTACTCATGGATGTAACATGACGTCTGTACACTTGTATATCAGAGTGAAATATGATATTCAAGAAGAATAAATGTAAGCAGGATGAGTTCTCTGGCCTGTAGATGTTACTCAGGTTCTTCTGTTTCTTCTCAAGAACACAGCTATCATCTGAAGTACAGCATGCAGGTTTGTGTGATTGAGTGGATCGTTAAGTTGGTTAATGATGGAGGCCAGTAATCTCATCATCTGTCTCATCTCTAGTGTTCTTCAGTAAAGGTGATGAAGCTTCGTGTGTTCTTCATCTCTCTTCCTCCTCAGTCTATGACATATTCTCAAAATAAACACATTTGATTAGATTCCCACTTTAGACTGATTGTTTAACCCAAATGTTTTACATTAAAAATATTCAGTAATGAGTGCTCTAAATGAAACACTTCATTATGGTCTGAAAGTCCTAACTAACAAACAGACAGTGATGTAGAAACAGGTGGGCGGGGCTAAACAGGCAGTGTTGTAGAAGCAGGTGGGCGGGGCTAAACAGACAGTGATGTAGAAGCAGGTGGGCGTGGCTAAACAGACAGTGATGTAGAAGCAGGTGGGCGGGGCTAAACAGGCAGTGTTGTAGAAGCAGGTGGGCGATGCTAAACAGACAGTGATGTAGAAGCAGGTGGGCGTGGCTAAACAGACTGGTGTAGAATCGGTGGGCGTGGCTAAACAGGCAGTGATGTAGAATCGGTGGGCGGGGCTAAACAGACAGTGATGTAGAATCAGTTGGGCGTGGCTAAACAGACTGGTGTAGAATCGGTGGGCGTGGCTAAACAGGCAGTGATGTAGAATCGGTGAGCGGGGCTAAACAGTGATGTAGAATCGGTGGGCGGGGCTAAACAGACAGTGATGTAGAAGCAGGTGGGCGGGGCTAAACAGGCAGTGTTGTAGAAGCAGGTGGGCGATGCTGAACAGACAGCACACTATTACATCATAGAGTAGAATATTCCACAAGCTGATGTTGTGGCAGACTGCCTTCATTATAAGCTGTTTTTAGACTAATGAGAAAATTCTGAGTTCTGAAACTTACAGGATGTTTTTATAGTACAATCACCTCTTATATGTCATCAAGGGAATTTTGGTTTCTCAGTTCATGACCCCTTTAATGCAGTATGAGTGACCCCTGCTAGCGTTATGTCTGCTTTTTCATCTTTAATTTTGAGACCACGCCCTTCCCCTTCAAAGAAACGCCTCTCATGCGGGAGAAACACTGATGTGTGTGGAAGGCTGTTTCCGACACTGAATTTTATTTGTTTTTTCAGTGGCTGAAACGGGCTTCCATAGTCCATAGTGTGTGTGTGTGTGTGTTTGTGTGTGTGAGAGAGAGTGTGTGTGTGTGTGTGAGAGAGAGAGAGTGTGTGTGTGTGTGTGTGTCTGTGTCTGTGTCTGTGTCTGAAGAAATCTTCATCTGTGTGTCCAAACTCAGGGCTTTTCAAACCAGTCCTGCAGCCCATCTTTACAACTTTCACTGTTGAAGAGCAAGCAGCTGCTGAAGTGCATTCGCTTTTTGTAGAGTTAACAAAAGTTGTCAGGAGCATTGTAATGTTCGAAGCAGATGTCACAACAAATGTAATCATAACAGGAAGATTTTAAAATGAGCCATTCATTCATAAATTCGTACAATCTTACCTTCACGCAAAAGGAATGTGTGAATTCATAGCATTCGAAAAGTCCGCGGATGACCTACTACCTCCACACAGAAGTCTGCATTCGATAATGATCGAGACCTAAGATCAACTTCAAATGTAGTGCCTACTCAGACAGTACGTGATTTGTGACTCGTCTCACACACCTGACTGAACTCTTTAGCTCGTTAGCAGAGACTGAGATCTGAACTGTGTGTCTGATGAGAGACAGATATAAAGCGCAGTGTTGGGCCTCAGGGACCGTTTGAATACCTCTGGTCTAAACCAACACAAAGTGTTTCTCTTTGCATGTAAAAAACCTCTACACTAAGAGACCTAAAACATGAAAGTCACACGAGCAGAGGGACGCGTCACTCTCTCTCACACTCACACACACACACACACATCGCTTATCTGTCTGTGTGTGACTGCAGTATCTGAACATCTCTCCGCTCTCTGTCTGCTTAGCTTCTTTTTAACTTCATGAGACTAAACAAACCCAGCCTGCTGGAACACAAGTAAAACAAGCGCACACACACACACACACACACACACACACACACACACTCTCTCTCGCTCTCTCTCTCTCTCTCACACACACAGAAAAAGTCACCTTCTCCTTGTAATACCTATGTCATACCTTTGTCATTATACAAATTTATGTCCTCATTTGTCACAAAAACAAGCGCACACACACACACACACACACACACACACACTTTAAGCAAATCTTTGCAATGAAAACTTCACTGCTTGGCGTAAGGATATAAACACACGCAGCTAAGCATTTTTCCTTAGATAAATGGTGCCATGATGCTTTCTTATGATTATATATATGTTAACAAAGTGATTATTTATATATTCACACAAACTATTTAATATTTACAACTTGATAATCTACAAAAAAGGCAGTAGCACCAAACACTCGTCCAAAAATCCAGTAGACAGAAACATATGGTGCGTAGATCCAAAATATACAAAGATCCAAAGATGAAAGACATCCGCACTCCTCCAAATGCAGCTAAACAAGCTTATTCCATTTATTGTTCAGAGGTCACAAAAATATATAGAAAGAAGTGCAAAAGTGCAAGTGCAGAACGTTTTCGGGTATTAACCCTTCCTCAGTGCCATGTGCTACCAAGCAACACCTGCGCTCATTAAAACACGTATTACCGTAATACCCCTAGTATCACGAAGATCTTTTAAACAAATACACATATATCTCAAATCTATAACAAAATACAGTAAATACATTCATAAGTCATCCCAAATTCATATACAACTATATCAACAAAATATATAAACAAAATATACATATACACCAAATAATAATCTCATGACTCCAACAATAATTCTTAACATCAGTTTTTATGTATACAATCAATACACACACACACACACACACACACACACACACACACACACTGATGTTTGTGAGTGTGTGCAGTGACAGACGCCTGAAACTATGCTTGGTTTTGCACATTTGCTTTAAAACGACTCAATCTGTACTAAACTACAAACAAGGTCAGCCAAAGGTGTGAAGTTTAGCATTTATGTATCACATGAATATGTGTCTAGAAAAGCTGAAAGTGATATCATAGGGCTGCAAACTCTCACATGTTCAGCGTGAAACTCACACAACTCTTCTCACGCCACACGCAGAGGAAAGCATCATCACATATGAGCAAAAGCACACTTCGTTTAATCTAGCATGATAACAGAAAAACATTCTCTTTACGCTGTTTAGCCAATCACAGACACACCTCTTGATTTCTTGAGCTCTCTGATTGGCCATTCAGGTCAGAACCTTTAATGACTGTAAACATCCAGATGTCAGACAAAACTCTGCTGCTGTTGTTGTTTTTTTTAAACAAAACAATTCCAACCAAAACTCCCACCCAGCCTGCCGTGGGAATCCTCCAAAGCTGATCTGAACAGCTGGCAGCCCTGATCATTTAATAACAGGATGAACACGAGGTCCTGTGATGGCGTCTGCTGTTAGTTTAGCGTGTTGGATCAGTCTGTATGTCACAGAACAGCATTCACTCAACATGGAGAGTCGGTTGTGTTCATCAGCATGTGTTCATTACTCACATTTACATTTACTCTTCAAACATGATCACAGTAAGATAGGGAACAATACAGACGGGAAAACAAGCAGTAAATGAATTGAGTGCAAGTCTAAAAGTTTTTTTTGTTAAAGAATAGAAATAGAATAGAGAGTGCTAGAGTTAGAGGGTCAAATAAAGGTGGAACAGATGTGTTTTTAGTCATTTCTTGAAGATGGCTAACGACTCAGCTGCTCAGGTCATTCCACCAGGAGGGAACAGTTAATGTAAAATCATCAGGATGGAATGAGAGGTAGAGTTGAGAGTCATCAGCATTGCAGTAATATGAAAAGCCATGTTTCTGAATGTGATCCATGTAGACAGCTCCTGGTGTTGCTGCTCATAAAAGGAAGATCTGTGGGGTGTTTGTCGCCCTCTGGCGGAGGAGAACTCCAGAGCCATCATCTGTGCTACTGAGAAAGAAAAACAATCATAGTACCAAAAAAATAAATACATGAATTAAACAGAAATGCATTTATTGCATTTCCAATATCTGCAAACGTATTCAAAGTTGATTTATTTATTCATGTAGTAGGCGCTTTTATCCAAAGCCTTATAAATGAGAAACAACATCATAAGCGATTTGTAATAAACGAGATACGAGAGTACATTTGTAAAAGTATAACATAGATTACTACATTGCTAGAGGAGAAAAGATTGAGAGTGAGAACTATTTTCTTTAAAAATGCATTTATATTTACTTCTCCGTTTACTACCAAAATTACTGAAAGATTTACTGAATCTTATTTTATGCATATGAAATAATACATGATCAGTAGGCTATAATCATAAAAGATCAGTCGAAATACGTTTTTTTTTTTTTTGGATGAGAATAAAGTATGAAATAATTATTCCTGTTATTTCTATTTTAAACTATCTGTTATTCTGGGTCGTCCATGCAACAGGAATATCAAGAAATCTTGACACAGTGTGTTTACAAGTGTATAAGATTTCATTTTCCTTTATGATACATTAAACTGTTTACAAGGACAACATTGATACTTTGAAAACAATGATGTATTAAAATGTATATAACAATGTAACGTCGTGATTTCGAATCTGTGAGGCTTCTGTAGTGTCGTCATCACGCCTCGGCTGCTATTGGCCAGCGCAGGTCACGTGATCAAAACAGTGTCATGGCGGCATCCGCGGCGGTCCGGTCGGCCGTGAGTTTGACGCAGCGGGTTGTCCGAGTTTCACCGGACTGCAGCATCTGTCCGCTCTACCGACTCAACGCGTGTACAGGACCCACCGACGGGTTTACCGCTCCGAACCGACGCCTGCGGACCAGCATCGGTGCGTCTTTCACACACACACACACACACACACACACACACCACACACACACACACACACACACTCTCTCTCTCTCTGAAGGGCTATAGGGTCCAGTAGCAGGAGTGTGTGTAACTGTGGTCCTGTGTTTGTGTGTGTCAGGTGTGTGTCAGAGTGAAGACAGCAGCTCACCGGAGGAGGACAAGCGAGTGTGAGTTTAGCAGCTCTAGAAACCAGAATAAAACCTGATAAATAACACAAACTCCTTCATTAAGGGCTGATATTTAAATCCATTTACTGGGGCCTTTACAATGGCCACTTTCTAACTTTCTTAAATGTATGTGTCCCCCTTAATTTAAACTTCAAATTTATTCATTAATGCAATTAGAATAATAAAACATTATATGACTGATACCAATCTAATGAAATCAGACAAAATGATTTCTGCACAGCAGCTGCATCTGAAGCGGCATTTTCATACAGACTGTTTATGCATAAATAATGCTATATCATTATTGTTTTAAATACAAAATGTATTAAATATAGAAATATCAAATGTTCCAATTATATGTGTATTATGGAATTATACTTAAAATGTTAAACTAAAACGTCCACTGTCTTAATAAGTGAGTGGTTGATTCATTCATTAATTCAGCCGATTCATTCAAAACGGCTGATCATTCAGGAACAAAGCTAGCGACTCTTTATCAATGTGTCTCTGAATCAGTTCACCCAAAAATATAAATTCTGTCATTAATTACTCGCCCTCATGTCATTCTCTTCATTCATCTTCAGAACACAAATGAAGATATTTCTGATGAACTGATGAACCCTGCACAGACAGCAAGGATCCCGAAACGATCAAGCCTCAGAAACACAGCAAGGACATGTTAAAATAATCCATGTGACATCAGAGCTTCAACCCTAATGTTACGAAGCTACGAGAAAATAACGACTTTATTCAACAACTGTTCTCCCCCGAGTTACCGTCTTCTTTCGTTATGGAGGGTATTAGACGCATGCTTTCCTCTGCGTGTTTACATCAGCAGCATCTGGCACCCAGGGAAAAGCTCTCGGATTTCATCAGAAATATCTTCATTTGTGTTCTGAAGATGAACGAAGGTCTTACGGGTTTGGAACGACGTGATGGCGAGTAATTCATGACAGAATTTTCATTTTTGGGTGAACTATCCCTTTAAGAATTGCTGAATCATTCAGAAATCTCAGTTTTGGAGAATAAAAACAGTGTTATTGACAATTTTGTCTAAAATATGTAAATCGTTCAATGTTAGCTTAAGTTTAGCCTAACTTTTAATCTATTCATTTATTAATTATATACCATTTGAAAAAGTAAAAATGTGGACTTAAAAGGAGGACAAAAGAGGTGTAGATGGATATAAGCATGAAAGGCCAAAGCCAGACAGATCTGCTTTACTCCAGGGTTAATGTGGTGTTCATCGACCGCTCCGGACAGAGGATTCCCGTCGAGGCGAGGGTCGGAGATAATGCTCTTCACCTGGCGCACAAGCACGGCATTGAACTGGAGGGTGAGTCCAGCGCCTCTTCATCTCTGTGTGTTTGAGGCTCGTCTTCATCAGCTCGTCTCTGTTCTTCAGGCGCCTGTGAAGCGTCTCTGGCCTGCTCCACCTGTCACGTGTACGTCAGCAGCGAACACTATGAGAAACTTCCAGAGCCTGAGGAACGGTGAGGAGAGCTCTGCTCATCGTGGTGCTCATCTCGAGTCTTGAGTGTATCTCTGTGTGTGTGTGTGTGTGTGTCAGAGATGTAAACAGGTAAAGGGGGATAAAGGTGAGAACATTGTGCAGATTGGGGGTAGGGTTAGGTTAGTTTGACTAACCAGCAGCTGTCTTACTCTTCCAATACTAACAAGACCAATCTACCTTTTCATAACTGCATTAAAAAATTTATGGCCAGTCTCCAATAATAAAAAAATAGATAGCAAATCTCACAGGTGACTTATTTTGTTTGTGTGTATGCTGTGTGTCTGCAGGGAGGACGATATGCTGGACATGGCTCCGATGCTGCAGGAGAACTCTCGTCTGAGCTGCCAGATCGTCCTGACGCCGGAGCTGGACGGCATGGAGCTGACGCTGCCCAAGGTCACCAGGAACTTCTACGTGGACGGCCACGTGCCCAAACCGCACTGAGGGTTCGTGACGGATCGCAAAGCACTGTGGGACACCGACGCTAGGCAAGCCTCTGGTTAAAGGCTCGAACATCTCTGAGCTTCTCATCCGGTGAACTCTGGAGCTCCGGCTGAATTCGGTGCGCAGGTATTTCCTCACGAAGGACTGCGGCATGCCGCTTCATTATCCTCCACATAACCACAACATCAGAGATAGTGTACATGTACTGAAAACATCACAATCCAACACCTGCTTCTCTCTGGCTCTTTTCTTTTGTATGAATAAAATGAAGCCTTTTTTTAGGACCGTTAAGATTTTCCGCATCATTGTTTTTATGACAGTGCTCATGGTTTCCCATGACTGTAATGCAGATGTTGTAATTCATTCATAGTTTTGTAATTCCCATTATCCTCTGACTTGCTGTACTGCAGAAAAATATTACTGTACTACCATATCGTATTGATGAAAGGAAAAATTAAAGAATGTGAGTGATGCGTAAACGGGCTTCATTTTCTTCATACACCGTTTGACTTCTTATTTCTTTGTTGATTTTGTGGTGAAGTATCTATCAGCTGGACGTGATCTCCACATTTCATGAGATTCACCAAAAACAGAAACATTCCACAGTACAAATAATTTCAGGCTTTTATAAATGTTACCTTGTTCAGACTCTGGAGAAAGAGTAGCGCTGCACATCTGCTCTGATGAATGATGTAGATTCTCTGCAGATTGATGTGGTTTACAGTAAAAGACGGTCAGTAGCTGCCGTTCTGCACTTCATTTCATTATTAATAACCACACAAACCTGTCAAACACACATTTCTCCTTTCTCTACTCAAGTCATCATGCGCACAAATTATTCATCGGTCTGTAGAAACCACAAATCTGTTAAGTTTGTTCAGTAATAAAAATGTCATGCTTGATTCTGATGTATGAAATAAACAGTAGTGCATCATAATCCGTGTGTTTGGAGTTAATCATTCATTCATTACAATAAATGAATCCAATATCCACTCACTCATTTAATTTAGAGAATATAACCCTGCGTCCCAATGTGCAACCTATCCACCCTATCTGCCCTAAATAGTATTGAAAATGACTAATATATCAGAGATTTGCACATTGGGACGCAGGCCATGTGTCACAGGTGAGATCACGTGACAGGCGGAGGATTGCTCTGCTGCAGAGTCTCAGCGGTGAGTTTATTCCCTTCTCTTCAGAATCACACAAACACAAGCTCATCATCCTCAGCTCGAGCTGCTGCTGCTGATGTGTGAGGAACAGGAGCGTGATGCCGCGCGCGGGAGATTTACTGTTACTTTGTAGCGACTGCTGAGAGGAAATTCTGCGATCTGTTACATTGTGAGTTATAAGAGCAGCGTTTGAAATATTCCAGAGCAGAACTAAACTCTGAATGACTTTAAAGTTTGTTTTGTTTCTGTCAGTTTATTTACCGTCAGTTCAGATTCAAACGTTCGCCACTGCAGTGAATCTTTACAAGATACTTTGATGTCTCATCCAAACCACGTTATCAATAATTCCGTCTGTGCTGTTGTATGTTCGGTCTTTATGATGATGAGATGTGTCTTCAGTTTTCACAATGATCTTAACTCTCTAATACATCATTCTGGAAACGTGTTGATGTGTACTACTGTGCAAAAGATTGGAGTCAGTATTTATTTATTTACAAATTACTACTTTTATTCAGCAAGGACGCGTTAAGTTGGTCAAAAGTGCCAGTAAAGACATTAATAATGTTGCAGAAGATTTTATTTAAAATAAATGCAGTTTTTTTGACTTTCTATTCATCAAAGAATCCTGAAAAATAAAATGTATGACGGTTTCCACGAAAATATTAATGTTTTCAACATTGATAATAATCAGAAATGTTTCTTGAGCAGCAAATCAGCATATTAGAATGATTTCTGAAGATCATGTGACACTGAAGACTGGAGGAATGATGCTGAAAATACAGCTGCGCATCACAGAAATACATTACAGTTTCACACACTCACACACACTCTCACACACACACACACACACGCACACACTCACGCACACACACGCTCACACACTCACTCACTCTCTCACACACACACTCACTCACTCTCACACACACACACACACACACACACACACACTCACACAC